AGTCATTTACAAATTGATTACCAAAACACTTATTAGAATAAGGGCTATTGCGAATATAAGCCACCTGTACACAGGCAATTGATTGGCATGAATACTCCACGCCCACAGATATACCAATCCACACGGAAACACACCCTCTCATCGGCGCCATTGCTGCGCTTATATCGTTCCTTGTCATCCAGACGCTCTTCACTCAACCGAGACAGTTGGTACCCCGACGGACTAACTGGCTTAGACCCTAGACTGCTTCTAGCGAGGCCTGAGTTGTTACCGCCAATCTTTGACGCAGCATCGACCAAGCTCAGTTTATGGATATTCTGTGGGGATGGCAATGGACGGCAAAGAGAGTGCGCCGTTATATCTACCGCATGTACTGTGATATTGGCAATAGGGAGTGTTGAGCAATCCTACTACCAGACAGACTAGTTTATTTGTCAGATATATTCCTACCGGATAGCTATAGCAAGTATTGGGCCACATTCAGATACTGTTAACCAAAATCTCGTTTGCGAGGGAGAGTAATTTTAAAAGCCCGAGGTAAAAACTTCAATCTATACGAGTTCTGTTCGGATGTGAATAGATAACAACCATAGTCAACAACTGCAACCTATGTATAATGTCAAGAACAACACATAAGCAAAGTGAGCTACCCCGCCAGCTTTCAGGCGATGTGGCTGTACAGTCAACGAACCCCACTTGTCAGTCAGCTAGTTATACTGGAAGCCAAACAATCAAACTATCATACGCAAGCCCCACCTAACGCATTGAGCGCACACTACAAGGCAACGGGAAGAAACACCAGACACGTCACACGATAAAATGATACCATGCTGGAAGGTAGCGAATGAACATAAAGGAGGCTACGAAACAATAGTAGTAATACAGTATGTACGCATACAGGTAGAGTGAGATTATGCTACATCACATTGTAGGAACACATTCAAATACGAACAGAGAAGCAATGCGTGTGAGTGTTCAATCAAAAAGGTCAACTAAATCAGACAGCATAGCTCGATGTGTGGCACATTGAATATGGGTCCCTTGTTTAATACACTATACTGAAGCTATTACCTTAGCTTATGCGAATGAAACAAAATACGTTCCACAACAAAGATATACAAAATCCAAGTACTTGTAATCCGTACCTTGGACAAACTCGACCTTGGGGAAGCCGGTAGAGGTTCCTTCCCCGCTTTCAGCTCCTCCATATTACTGAAGGAGAACGAAGCCAGCGACCCGGGCTTAAGGGATGGGGGCTCTACTATAGCCCCCGCGAGAGGATTGGATGTTCCTGCGGACATACTGTGGGCACAAACACATTGAGACATCCGTATCACGAATACATCGAAAAGAATATTGATTATATGCATTGATACATATAAATATGTACTGTCGCAGGCATAAGGGAACTATTGCAATGTATTGCTGCAAGTTAGCTGTTCACGCAGACAAACTGCGTGTCACAGGGCATGAATATATACATAATAAGTATTGACGCAACAGGTTGGATGTTTTTGTATATGTTGTCAAGATAACGTATGCACAATTGTATTGTATATACAACAACATGTGCAGTACAGTGATGGATGTTCAATACGATGCTATGGCATTTGTAGTAAAAAGGACTTTGGATTCGAGCACATGAATAATCCGTCAGAGAACACATGTAAACTTCGTACATAAATAATAAGGTTGTATGTAGGACCAAAAAAAAAATTATATATATCGCAATACCATCAATATTCGCTACATTGTGCGCTCGTATCTCAAACCACATAAAATTATACATATATATATCTATATATATAACTATATATATATATATATATATATATGTATATATATATGTATGTATATATATATATATATATATATATATATATATATATTATATATATATACTATATATATTATATATAATATATATATATATATAATATATATATATACCTAATACTAATATACTATATATATATATATTATATGGTATATATATATATATATATTATATATTATATATACC